ACAATTTCGAAGAAAATCGAAGAAACACTTGGTAAAGTACAAACTTTCAAACCCACACGAAAAAAAAACTGAAAATAATAAAAAAAAATAAGGTATGAATGTAGAAAAATTTTTGTAAAGTATTTGTTTTTTTTTTATTACTTCTCTGTATTCGAATATATTTAGTTTTATTTAAATTGTCGAGAAAGCCAAACTAATTTTATCCAACGTATATAACAGTCCCACCACAGTTCACTACTAAAGAAAAGAAATTAAATAATGAATATTATTTTGTGATCTAAGAAGTATATTTTACCATCCAAGGTGTAAGAAAATATCCTATGAATAACTTATTTCATCCCCTTCGAACTCATAAAAAAATTATTAGAGACATGCCACAGTCTCATGGTAAATTATTAGAAACCCAGCAGTATGAAGCTGTAAATGGGGTGAAGGGGTATCAGCTTCAATTAATTAAAAAATTTTTGACTTAGTCGATGGAATGTTACTAGATAGAATGCATAGTGTGTTTTTTGGCGTTATAAATCAGTACACGGAATTAATACTTACCTCTCCTCAACAACCCTTCTATGTTGGAGATCCAAATAATTTTTCCATAGTTAAAAATCGTCTTCTGTCAATAAGACCTCCTAAACATGTGACAATAACTTTAAAATCATTGAAGCAACGAGCTTCCTGGAAAGCTGCTAAGTGGCGGTCTTGGCTCTTGTACTATTGTTTAATATGTCTACATGGCATTTTGACAAAGAAATATTTCGATCACGTATCAAAATTAGTTTGTGGTATTTAAATTTTACTTAGAGATTATATCAGCTACGATGATGTGAAAGAATCTAATAAGTTACTAGTCGAATTTGTCATTGAAATGGAAAAACGATTCCGTAAAAATCAAATGACATATAACACTCATTTACTGTTACGTACAGCGCGAAGTGTTAAAAATCTTGGAGCATTATATACTAATGACGCTTTTTGTTTTGAGAATGAAAACAGGCTATCACTAAATATGAAGAAAAGCCCAACAGAGGTAGCTGTCCAAATCTTCAATCGTTATTTTTTTCTATAGATCCATTCCAACATTTGCTAGTCAATTTGCAAAAGAATCAAGATTTTTAGAATTCACTAAGAACTTTGAAAACCGAGTTACATCTTTCATGAAGCTAGACAATGCAACAGCAATTGACCTGGGAATATTGCACTGTTTTTATGTTAAAGAAAAACTTAATTATAGCGGAACTTGTATTTGTTACGACTAGATGATTTACGAGAATAGAAGATACACAACGCTACGGTATACAAAGAATTTGAAAATTAACGATTCATTTATTGAAACAAATTCTGCAGCCAAAGTAGTGATAATGAAAATGCGTACAAGAACTAAAGATACAAAAATTAACATTTTGTATCATCCTGTAGTAATTGAACAAAAAAATGCCTTCAATATTTCTTATTTGAATCACATTCAAGAATGATGGATTAACCGAGAAAAAATTTGTGTGTGTTACCCTGAAGATATACAAAAATCAAATTATCTTGACTGCATTAAATGATAAAATGTGTGTCAGTCCTCTTATAAAGGATTCAGTCATGTACTAATATATTTTTAAATAAAACTCTATAAATCAAAATCCGTACTGTTATTATTTAAAGATACATTTTAAATATTGATAAGCACACATTCGTGAATGTATTTCAAAATCTCAAGAACAATTCACCGTCAGAAAAACGATTACTTTTTTATTAATCTGGTAATTAAATACGAATTACATTCCTTTCTTTCAAATCCCTATTAAAAAAAGACTTCTTTTATCAGTATTATACATACCATACAAAGAAGAGGTTATGTCATACTTAATAGTGCAGGAAGCAAAAAAGAATCTCAAAATTTTTTTATCCAGTCAGTATTAAGGATCTCTAAAAAACTTTATACATTGAACATAATTTTGGAAAAATATAACAAAATTAATAAAAAATTTTAAAGAATAATAAATNATGGGCTCAAATGGTTACGCAGTACGCGTTACGCTCTCCATGTGCCTTTGGCCTAAGGCTGCAGTCACATGGAGAGCGTAACGCCTACCGCGTAACCATTTAAGCCCATAAGAGTGAAAGAGAGATAAAGTACGCGAACCTCTCTCTCACTTATGGGCTCAAATGCATGGTTACGCGGTACACGTTACGCTCTCCATGTGACCGCGGCCTTATGCAGGATTTATATTATCTTCTCCGCGGGCTCTCAAACACTATGGGAAAGCGCACACAACCTTAACCCATGGTGTAATAAATGCATAAGGTGGGCTCTTCAGCCACCGAACCGATCAGCCAATCAGGCGGCTTGGAACAAGCGACCTTCCATATTGGATTTTCCACTAATGAGTGTAGAGAGTGCGATGTTCAACCACTGCTACACGTCAACAAGAGTATAGAGTGATGAATTTCCTCGATAAATAATATTTTTAAAATTTGTTAGATACAATGTTTCATATATCAATACGATTCTATATAATCATCTAATTATTTGCAAAATATACAATGAAACCGGTTCATTAAATATTTTGCTAAAAAAATTTTACAACTTTAAAAAATTTTTTTTGTGAGAATTTTTAACATCAGAAGCCAGTTTTTCGGTTCATCCCTAGCAATCTAATTTTCGTTATCGTACGTACGAGATTTTTAATTTAATACTGCTTTTCGAGGTAAGTTGTATTTATTTTTAGCAATGAAGTATAAGTAGTTAAACAACGCGCTCTTAACGCTCATTGGTGGAAAATCCAATATGGAAGATCGCTTGTTCCAAGCCTCTTGATTGGCTGATCAGTTCGGTGGCTGAAGAGCCCACCTTATGTATTCATTACACCATGATACGGTGCTGCAAGATAACAAGCTACTGGAAATATCCAATAAAAGTACATTTATAATTACAAGACTGTACACAACTATTTTGTAGAAAAAGTTCATGACTACTTACTTGAAATCAAACTCTTGCGAACCAAAATCATATTTATAAGTTGGTGGAAACGTAATTTTTTCTTCAGTCAGTTCAGCAAAAGCTTCATTTTTAATCATGCTAATTTTTAACTGATCTTTTGCTAAGAGTGCATCAAATTCATTCTTTTTAACAAGAGAATCAATATCCATAGCTGATAAGCTTTCAGATAAGCGAAAATTGAGATCACCAATCCAAAAAACATAACTGAAGGAAAATTACATAAACAAAAAAAAAATCCAATTTGGCTGTGTTTAATGAAAACAATTACAAAAGAGTGCTTACTCATGGAAAAATATATTGGATGTATAAGATACAGTATACGAGTGTTGTTTGACAATTGTTTTGTAATCTGTGATTCGATCAGCTAATAAGTGATCATGAGGTGTAAGATGAGCATTTACACAACACACATTAACACCATGAATATTAAATCTTATACTAACAGCACCTTTATTACCCTAAAAATATTCTGAATGATAACAAGTCATCAAATACATTTAATTTTACGAATTGCTGCTTACATACCCACATCCCTCCAAAGCCAGTTTTAGTGTATTGAGTTTCAATAGACCGCAAACTTGTAATGTGTTTCCTCAAGCAAAAAATATTTAAAACCAGACCCTGCAGCCGCTGAGTCTTTAATTTTACGTAATTGAATTCTTTTAAAGCTTCTCTGCAATATTACCATTGGCTTACTTACAAATCAATAATTTAATTTAATTTTTCAAGTGTTGGTACTTAGAATTCACCTGAAAACTTTTGTCCAAGGATCTTCAAAAATATCCCAAAAAATGTTTTGAGGTTGAAACTTGACTTCCTGCAATCTAAGTAATAATGAATCAGATTTAATAGTTTTTGTTATTTATTAACTGTACTTATTTTTACTGCATGAATGAATTTACCCAACAATGTAGATGTCTGCTAACTGTTTAGCAGTAGTAAAATGACTAAGACCCAGCAATTGTAGTAGATTTTGTTCCGGATACTTTGTTGCTACATTCCACGTTACAAAGTATAATCTAAAAATAAATAAAAATTTAATTCAACTACCAAGTATACATGCTTAGACATAAATTTGGTAATTAATATTTAACAGATTCTGTAAACAATCATCGAAAGAAGACTTTGATCAACTAATCAGCCATGGCACAACTTTTCAGAATATAGAACTATAAAAATAAGAAACTTCTCAGAACTTATAAACAAAGAAAGTAAGCAGATAAAGGTAACCAGTGAAATAAGGCTCCATTAATAATACAATTATTGAAAACTTAATTAGTAGCCTAAACAATGAACTTAATAAAAGTGGATAAAAAACAGACAGCAAGAGAACATTTTAAATATTAACAAGCTATTAACTAGGAGGACATAGGAAAGGATGTTTGTTTTGTAGGTAACATGAAAAGAAAGGACTATGTAGTCAGTAAACAGTTAAAAAACTACTCACTTAAGATGTTGATTCTCGAAAGTTGCCATACTTGATAATGTCTTAAATGTCACACAAACGACAACTGCTTACAGTGGACCGAATCACCGAATGCAGGTAATCAAATCATCTCTCGAAAATTTGATAGAAAAATAATATTCACGGAGTGAGACTTGACGTGTCAGATGTCAGAAAGCAGAAACCATCAGGAGAATACAGCCGTAGTTTAATAAATACATGAGGCGGGCTCTTCAGCCACCGAACCGATCAGCTACAGCTACATCTCTATTCTTCTTCTTCTTGGGGGGGGTTAGTGGCTCCAGTGAGGCTACTTTTGTGTTAGTAGCGCAGTCCGAACGGCCATTAACAAAACTTATTATCGTCTGCTTGCTCGGTGAAGTGCGGCATGGTGAAAGAATTTTGAAGTATTAGGTTTGTTCGATTAGGGAGTCCAGAGCATCCCGAGCAACCCCGGGCCGCCGGGACGCACGACCGCACCTACAGCTTTGGCCGCAAGTGCAGATACGCGCCCCAGCGGTACCCGGGCCGCCCGAAGTGCTCCGGGCATCTCAAATGAGTAAATACATTGGGGGGGGGGGGGGGGTAGAAGTTTAAACGTGAAG